TTGACAGTATCAAGTCTGAGAGTTTAGGCAACTACACTGAAGATGACAAGACTCAGTATGATACCCATTCTAGCTTCATTACTATCTGTTTTTGAAGTTTTATATTACATACAAAATTGTGTTTTTATTAATACTGTTCGGTGCTGATATATTCAATTATACTATGTCTGATGATATAGCCAATTCTATTGAAGGTAATAACAGACAACACAGTAATCATGGTAAACCCCTTGGACAGTGGTCTTATATGTCTTTTACATTTCATGTGTTTATAGGAATATGTTTTGTTTTGTCTTGCTTTGTTTTCTTCCTCCCTCTAATATAGAAAGGATAGAAATACCATGTTAAGACTCATGCGTATGTAGAACTAATCAACAGTTTATGAAAACTGATCTTATGACACATGATGAAATGAACAAATACTTGGAAGAAAAAGAGACACTGCAGTACCCAGTGCTGATCCAGGAGTATCATAATGTGAAACCCAGCAATACTGTTTTTCTTTGCTCAGAGTGATTTTTTATTGAACAGAACTGGTTGTAGTCTCGCTGTTTGAAACCCTACTTTATATGCTCCACTTTTGTATCTTGAATAACTATTTGTAAGAAGACATTATGCAAATATCAACTAATGATTTCTTACTGTTTATTCTTTCTTTGAAAGTATGTATTATTTCTATTTTGTTTTGTTTAGCCTTTCTTTAAATAAAATTTAAAAAAAAATAAAATTTAAAAAATAACTCCTACATTTCTATTCCAAAACTAAATAAATTATATTCCAAAACCTGCCCCTACCCCCCAACCCACTGTTCCTGCCTGGACAAAGCCTAAAATATTTTCTACTTGGTCCTCTAAGAAAAGTTTGCCAACTCCTGATCTAAAGCACACAAGAGTGTGGCATTGGAATCGTTGCATATATTCCTTCAGTGGGGCTGTGTGCACAAGAGTCTGTTGAGGCTTGGTGATTTAGCTCATTGGTGTAAGCACCTGCCTGGTGAGTGTGAGGTTGTGAGTTCAATCCTCAGTACTAAAAACACCCCAAAAAGCCAAAAACAAACACCCCCCCCCCAGTCTGGTGAGATATGCAAAGCAGCCATTAGCTCTATGCTAGAAAAGAGAAAACTGAGGCTTAGTGTGGAAAGGCAGAGCTGGAAGGAGAATGTTCAGGTACTTGCCAGGCCACTGCTTCCTCGGCCCCATGATGCCCCAGAAAGGTTCTGAGTGTTTGCAAACATCTGGCCATACTTTCTGACCCAGGTGCACATGGGAAAAAGCTGACCATGGGCACAACCAGCCGCTCAGGACCATGGAACATGACCAAAGTCTGTCATGTCGTGTGTTTAGTCACTAATCTGTACAGAAGAGACTGTGCCCATGCTGTGTCCTGGAGCCCAGTGCTTTGTTCATGCTTGCAGAGTGTTTAATGAAAAACTAGGTTAATGATCATCTTCACAAACTGTTTACTGAAAACTGAGCTAATCAGAATTCTCATGACTGTGAAGTGCTCATCCTCCCTGACTGGCACCTTGCTTAGAAGACTCTCGCCTTTTCCCCAGGGAGGAATCCCTGTGACGCCTACCCCACCACCAGGCCTCCATCATCACACACCCAGTAGGTCCTTCATTCTCTCCAAATCTAGAGGATCACTGAGTCCCATTACTCCAGCTCCTGAACCTGCCTCCTCTTCTCCAACCCCGTGGCACTGTCTCACTCAGGTCCTCTTCACTGAAGCCTGAACTATGCACCCACCTCCTCACTGGCTTTCTTCCTCCACCGTGTGACTTTGTCGGCACTGAACACATCTGGTCACATCATCCTCTACTTCTCTGTCAGGACCCCTCTACCTGGATGCACTTGAGTCTCCCATGACCAGCATGCTTGACATCTCCAGCTCCATCTTGCCTTCAAGCTCCCACTGGGGCCCAGCACCATGGAACTCTCTGCGGTTCTCTGACATTGCTGAGCCTTGTCCCATTGTCCTACCTTGGAGCAAGCTTCGCTCCCTGCCTGGGACGTCTCTTCTCATCTGGCCCAGTGATGCACTTCTAGTTAGGCTTCTAGACCAAGTTCAAGTATCATGTCTCTGGAAATCTCTTCCCAGTGCTGCCCACTGGGGAATTCTTGCTTTGTGTCCACTGTGTGATGTGAGCACTTAAGAGGTATGATCGAAAAATATAGTGAAAGTTTAAATTAAAAAAATAAAATTACTGTATTAGACACGCTGCCATCATTCCCCTGATGACGCTTTCTGTAGCAGTTCTTGTGTGTCTTTAGTTGTGCTGTTTGGTGGTGGTCTTGATGTCCTAATTTGATTCAAAGCATTTACCCATCATCATCATTTTGACTTTGGGGAAGAGCCAGAAGTTGCACAGAGCCAGAACTGGTGACTAAGGTGAGTGAGGTGCACTGTAATGTTTTGCCAGCCTGCCTTCCCACTGGATGCGTTGAGCAGCAACATCTGCCACATTTTAAATCACACCTCAGAAAGTCACTCATGAAAGGGTACTTTCAGAACTGCCTCAGAAAGCGGCAAGGACGATGGATGAATGTATTCACTGTGAAGGGAGCATTTAGAGGACGATTAATGGCAATGTCTTTTACTATAATATATGTATATTTTAAGTGAAACATTCTTTCTATAATTCGATCATATCATATACACTGCCCTGCATTATGTGCTGCTTCTCTATTTCTGGGTCTCCCACCCTGGGGGCAGGAGCTCTTTGACCCATCTTGGGATGCAGTTCACTCAGGGCAGGTGCTGGTTCACGGTGCTGGCATCAGTACCACTGAGTCCTCCCAGCTCTCCCTCTGATCGGGTAGTGGGGCTCTTTCACTGCCTGTGGGTATGGGAGTGGGTGGAGCCACACTTGGCAGCTTTCTCAAGCTCAGAGAAGCAAAAAACTTGGAGTAGACATCTGTCACTGCTGATTCCTGTTGTCCCTTTTCCTAACCTCTCTCTCCCCTGCTTATTAAGTTCTCACGCTTTTTTCTAGAGGTGAGCAGCTAGGCCAGGGCAATGGAGTGGCCCAACCAACAGCCCAGCTGATTGGTTCATGGATGGGCAAGGAGCAGGTAGGGCCAGGCGGGACCGCTCTGGGGGATATGGACAGTTGTGCTGTGTGTCATTGTGGAAGAAGGTTTATTTGTTCACAGGCTGATGTCAACCTCAGGGGGCTGGTAGCCACCTGTGCAATGTCCGTGTTAGAGTAGATATGAAGCTCTACCACTTACTGACTGGGAGACCTCATGCAAGCTCCTTAATTCTTTACATTTATTTTGGGCTCACCTTAATAAAGTATATATGTCATGTTGAGGGAATAACTGAGTTAATGTATGCAAAGTGCTCAGAACAGTGCTCAGCCTAAAGGGAGGAGCCCTTACATACCTGTTACTCTGTGGGGGGAGATCTCATCTGAGAACCAGTGACAGCGAGAGACAGGTTCCTGACAGTGTTAGCTTCCTGTGTCCAGCTGTGCCTGAGGTGTTATCCCCTTTAACTTCCTAGGTCCACAGGTCAATGAAACTATTTTTTTTTTTTTATTGGTACTGGGGATTAAACTCACGACTGCGTGCTTGCAAGGCAGGTGTATATGCTGCTAAGCTAAATCCCCAGCCCCAGTGAAACTATTTTTAAAAACAAGTTTCAGCTGGGTCTCTGCAAGTTATAACCCAAAGGATCCTAACATGAGTGGGAAGACAGAGGAGGCAAGAGGGCAGTGCTCACTCTGATTTTGCTGTTGGCATCCGGGCAAGCTTTACTTCTCGAATATGGTCGACAGGGTGGGTGATGCCCGCCTGCCTGCTCTCTATGGCTGCTGTGAAGATTTTTTTTTTTTCTTTTTAACTTTCCAGCACTGGGGATTGAATGAAGGCTTTCCCACTGAGCTACACCCTCAGTCCTTTTTTAAATCTTGAGACAGTTTCTTGCTAAGTTCCTCGGGTGGGACTTTGGTTCTTTTGCCTCCCAGAGAGCTAGGATTACAGGTGTGCACACCATACCCAGCTGTGAAAGCCTGTTTATATAATGGAGGGGTCTCAAAAGCTGGCAAGTGAGCCTGGCATGGTGGTACCGTCCTGTAATTCCAGGAAGGGTGAGGCAGAAGGATTGCAAATTTGAGCTCTGTCTGAGTGACTAACCAATGTAGCAAGACCCTGTCTCAAAATAAAAAATCCAAGAAGAACTGAGGATGTAGCTTAGGGCAAAGGCCTTGAACTCAGTCTCCAATATTGCAAAAACAAACAAAAATGTCTAAGTGAAAAGCAAAACATACTCATGACTCCTTCATGCACCCAAAGACAGAAAATCCTCCCCTTTAGCTTGGCATTGGTGGGGTCTCGCCCCATGTGGCCCTACTCTACTCCTGAGCCTTTCTGCTCACTCATGCACCCTCCGTCAATGGCAGATCCTCTGCTGAGGCTGCACTGGGTCTGGCCCCATCTTCCAAACTCACCTTTGTGCTTTTGCTTATTTTACTTTTTCTACAAGACTGAAACTCACCTTCACCTAACAAAATACACCCATCAAAAATCTGTTCTAATGAAGCCATCTCTATAAAGCCTATTTTTGATCCTTCCCCAAGACAAATTTACACTCACACTCACATGCACGTGTGTGTGAGGGTGTGCAGAGGAATCAGAAGTGCTCCCTGCTTCTTGTGAACTCAGAGCATTTCCTTTACTGAAGTTACAGGTTTAGACGTTTTTCAATTAGATTAAAGCCTCCCGAAGGACAAGGATTACCTTATCTATATTCTCCACTGCATTTTACAGTAGGGACTAAGAGATGTAGGGATTCAGAGAATTACAGCACCCATCAGCATGGACCCAACAAGACGAGAGCAGGTATAACACCTCCGGATCAAAAGGAACAGCATTCTGCTCTGTTCTCATGAAAGCAATGCAAGAACTTAACTGCACTGACCAATGAGCAGAGTGTCCAGAGTATATGAAAAACGATCTGGGAGAAGGAAAAGGCTGCTGCCACCAGGGGAAACTCACCCAAACCAGCACTTGCTGGAATCACCCAGTCTCCTGGCTTCAGCCCAGTCACACGGCTGCCCACTGCTACCACCTGTCCAACGCCTTCATTTCCTCCAACAGCAGGCAGCTTGGGGAGGAGGCCATAGTTCCCTGAGGGAGGAGACAGCAAAAGGTCATCCCATGAAATGGGGGCAGGGAGGCTGGGGATTTAGCTCAGCGGCATAAGCATCTGCCTTGCAAGCAGGCAGTCGTGAGTTCGATCCCCAGTACTGATAAAAAGGAAAAAGACCAAAAAAAAAAAAAGAAATGTGGGCAGGGAGGGAGCATGGACTTTGTGGTTTTTTTGTATGTTTGATTTGAGTCTGGGTCTCACTATATAATCCAGGCTGTCTTGAACTTATGATCTTCCTGCCTCAGCCTCCCAGGGCGCAGGATTACAGGAATGTGCTACTATACCTGGCTCAGAATGCAGACTTTGGATTCAATCAGATTGGAATTTGAATGGGGCTCTGCCTCTGATTATCCACCCTGGGCCTCAGCCTCCTTGCCTGTCCACAGAGTTGAGACCCTTTAGTGTTCTCGGTCACCACAAAGTAACACAAGAAAGGAGCCCAGCATGTTGCTGGCCCTCCACAGTGATCACTTCGTGCCCTCCCGAAGTCTTCCTGACTCTCTCAAAGCCTCATGTTCAGGGAAGGGGGGTTAGGGAGGGCTGATACAGTCGGTGGACTCCTCTGCTCCTCTGGAGAAGAGCTATGCTAATCACAGGGATTTCACACCCATACCTGAGGAGGAAGGAAATGAGGTGGCAGCTGAGCGAAAAAGCCAATTAACATAAGCTCCAGAAACCAAGGTTACCTTGGATCATATTTATGTCAGATGGATTGATAGGGGCTGCCAGCATCCTCACATGGACGTCTGATCCTCCCATGGCAGCTAGCTCCAGGTTCTTTAGTCTAAACACAAAGCCAAAGAGAGACGTTCATGTCAGCCAGGCTACACTGGGTGTCTTCGGTGCCAATCATTTCCCCAAGTAGGTCAGGCAATGTGTCTGAGCTGCCATGTGTGGCAGGAATTAGGTTCTGCTGGAAAAGGTAGGTGCTGTGAGGAATAAGGGGGCCCAGGTTGACTCTGAATCACCGCAGTGGCCTCCCTGTTCCCAGTGCCCAATCTGGAAACAGAAAACTTGGTGAAAGCCCTTGCTGGCCTGGACTGGCCCTGGTTTCCCCAAAGCTTGTTTGCCTGTAAGAATCATGCAATGAGTCCACTAATAATATTGACTCTAAGGCTTCAGCTCTGACACTCAACCAGCATCTCCACATAAGGGCACCATAAGTAATCCTGAAAATGTTCATCTGGGAACCCCAGGTATCCATTTGCCTTCCACGTGTTTATGGGTTTGTTGACCCTGATGTACACAGGGAGAGGAGGCCTTTCTATAAGTAACACAGAGAGGGGAAAATGGAGATAATATTGATGCATTTGGAAGGAATTCCCTGGTGACTGTGATCCATCCCTGGAGCGATGTCCAGACATGGAGCCTGGTCTGAGGCTGAGGTCTTAGATGTAAAGCTCCAGAAGGGCCGAGGCACGGCAGTCAGTTTTTCTGCTTTAGGCCTCTGTTTCTCCATTTGTAGGACGAGAGTGCTCCATTTGTAGGAATCACTTTTGACCACTTCCAAGAGCCTCTACTGTCTTCAGTACTGGTAAGGCCCTTTGCTCAGGGTGGGAGCCCTTGACACTGTGGCTGAAACTTTGCTTAGTGCCAAGAGGCATTTAAAAAAAAATTTTTTTTTTGTTTGGTGTTTTTGAGACAGGGTCTTGCTATGTAGTATACAGGCTGGCCTTGAACTCATTTTGTACCCCAGGATGGCCTTAAACTCACAGCAATCCTCCTGCCTCAGCGTTCTAAATGTGATTATAGATGTGCACCACTATACCCGGGATGGCAGAGGCTTTTTTGAGGGAAGCCTTACAACCATGTCTAGGTGTTACTTTTGCTATTTAAAAACAAAACTTTAAGAGGTGATTTGCCGGAGCTGAGGATTTAGCTCAGTGGCATAAGCGCCTGCCTTGCAAGCACGCAGTCGTGTGTTTAATCCCCGGTACCAATTAAAAAAAAAAAAAAGAGGTGATTTGTCAAACAGACTGATCAGTGTACCAGATCATTGGATCCCTAATTCTTCAGTAACCAGAGACCCTTTTCTTTTTCACTCTCCAAGACTTCAGATTTACAATGCTTTTTTCTCCAATTTTTTTTTCTTTTTTTTCTTTTGGTACCAGGGATTGAACTCACAACCTTGCACCTGCCAGGCAGGTCCGTAGGCCACTGAGCTAAAACCCCAGCCCTTGCCCAAATGTTTTTGCTAAGTCATAATTCTTATTTTTACTTAGCAAAGCCATATGTGATTGCCTACCAGAGGTTCTTAGCATGAGGCCACAGCATCACTGCGCCAGGCTGAGGCAATCTATCCATTTCCTGCAGAATTCCAACCTTTTAATTATATCTAAGGCTTGATCTCTAGGGAGAAGTGTGATTTTTTTCAAGAAATATTTTACAATAATACTAATAATGAAGGAACTCACGAGGTTACTTCTTATATATCAGACCTTATGCTGAGCCTTTAAGTACAATGATCTAATTTAAGATATAGCATTTCTGGGATGGAAGTATTAATAGGCCCAGGCTACCTGGTAGGGAATGAGGCTCCTCAGGATGATGGAACTTACGCAGGTTTAGATGACTGGTTAAGTGGAAGGTTTATTTAATTCCAAAGTCAGCTTTCTTACATTGCTCTACATCAGCATCCTAAAGTGAGTTTGGGAATCCCCAGCAGCCTAGCAGGGCCCCAAGGATCTGGGGAGCCCAAGATCTGGACCAAAGTCAGGAAGGCAATGCTTTACGATGACTGAGAAAAAGCAGCAAGAAACCAGCATAGAGAAATTCTCTACAGAAAACGGCTAACTAGGAAGGAGTGGATGATCACTGGCAGAAAGAATAAAGGGCTTTTAAAAGAAAGTTAAGTAGTAAGGAGCTTATGTATTCCTATACACAGCTGGAGAAGGGGGGAGTCCTTGTCAGAGGAATAAGCACTGCTTAGTGAGGGCTCACAGTGGGCACCCTGCGAAGTGCTTCACAGGCCAGCATCTATTACAGTCGCTTTCATACTATTGTTCTGCTTTCACAGCGGAGGAACAAAGCCACAGAAGAGGTAAATAACTTGCTCAAAGCCTCTGATGGAAGTGAGTGGCTGATCTGCTCTGAACCTGACAGTCTGTTAGAGAAGCTACCTGCTAAGAGGCTGACCCCAGACCAAGGAGAGGGCAGTGAAATGAGCCCCAGCGTGCAGTGACCCCAGCCACACCTGTCTGATGGGGAGAGGGAAGGACCATTGGTGGTTACTACAGCCTGGCAGTCGGGGCAGAGAGGTATCAGTGATGTTTCTGTGAGCAGAGATACTAAATCTGCATCCCAAAGAAAAACCCTGCTCTGAGCAAATGGCTTTTGGACTAGCTACCCCTTTGCATTATGCCTATGGCTTGTCATTGGCATTCTGACAGATAATCAGACTTTCCCCTGTAAGCTGACAAAGTCTGTGTGCTCAAGCTGCTTAAAGACATTTTTCCCCCTGAACATTTTCTACATGTTCCTCTCTCAGCCCAGAATTTTGTTTTCATCATTTCTCCACGGAATATGAAATTCAATTCATCTTTCAAGACCCAGTCAAATTTTACTCCTCCTAAGATGTCTTTTGCTCATTACATGGGAGGGTGACTTCCATTTGAGACCATTTCACATGAGCTTATTTTTTAGTTTTCTGACTTTCTATACATTTTTCCCCCAACTGCTCAAGCCAAGACATAAATTCACAATTCCTTTTCTTTTCTTGATTCTTTCTTCATTTCTTGTTTTTTTGAGACAGGCTCTCAATATACAGTTCAGAATGGCCTTGAACTATAGTAATCCTTTTGCCTCAGCTAGGATTACAGGTGTGTGCCACCATGCTTGGCTCACAATTCCTTTTCCAAAGTTCTTGGGGCCAGATGTACTCCAGAGTTCCAAACTATGCATTATCCATTTTCCTGGGCTGCGGCAGCACCCTGTGATCAGTGTTTTTGCAGCAAAATGAATGAGTACCACACTCAATGAAGTAAATGAAGATGATAGAAAAACCTCGTGTTATACAGGTTTTACCTCCCAATGAGTTAGGAAAAAACTCAGTTTTAAAGTCAGGCATAGTGGCCCCTGCCTCTAGACCCTGCACTCTAGATGCAGATACAAGAGGACTGCCAGGAGTTCAAAGCCAGCCTGCGCTACAAAGTGAGTTCAAGGACAGCCTGAACTACACAGCTAGACCCTGTCTTAAGAAACAAAATAAAGCACTCAGTTTAAAAATTTTGATTTTGCAACTGCATGTCGAATGCTTCTATATAGATCTAGATGCTTCAGACTGAGTTTAGTGCTTTTTGTACTTCTTGGTTTTTTTTTTTTTTTAATTTTTTTATTTTTTGTCTTTTTCTTTTTATTGGTACCAGGGATCGAACTCACGACTGCCTGCTTCCAAGGCAGGTGCTTATGCCGCTGAGCTAAATCCCCAGCCCCGTACTTCTTGGTTTTATAGTCAAAATGTATGCATGTGTGTGTGTGTGCAAATGCAAACTCATTAAGACTGTAAGAGGGCAGAGAACATCTAGTCTAACCTCAGTGTGTAGCACCTGGGATGGAGCTTTTCTCTCTGGGGAAAATGTGGCATAAATGTGCCAGCCTAGAGAGTCAGGGGAGGGGCTCTCGTCACAAGACCTCAGCTACTAGCACCAGCTCCTCCTGCTTCTAGGGTGTTTAGAAAAATGCTCCAAAGGAGTAGCTTGAATAAAAATGGAGATGATCCTAAGAGAGTTTAGTCTAGACATACAAATCAAACATGCAATAAGATTGTACTTCTTAAAAGTCTAGATGACAGCCAAGGATTTAGCTCAGCGGCATAAGCGCCTGCCTGGCAAGCACTAGGTTGTGAATTCGATCCCCAGTACCAAAAAAAGAAAAAAAAAATCTAGATGACTATTAAAAATGTATGCAGACGGCATTTCGTGGATCTAGGAGTAAACCAGACAGCCTTGGGCTTGCATCCTATCTCAGCCCGACCAGCTGGATAAGGCTCAGAACTCTCTTCTGTAAAATGGAATAAACTAGAACCTCCTACTGAGTTAAATGAGTCAAAGTACATAATATATTTACTATAGCACTGGACACACAGAAGAGGCTGAATAAATGACATGTTATTGGTGGAAAGAACAGTCAAGTGTTCCCAAAGCTCCTTTGATTATCCTTTCCACTGATAACAGATGCCATTTGTTTGGCCTCTTCTGTGTATCTCCTGAAAAGAATCACCAAGTCAGCTGGGCATGGTGGTACATGCTTATAATCCAGCACTTAGGAGGCTGAGACAGGAGGCGCCCCAGTTTGAGGCTAGCTACATAGACAGCTTGAGGCCAGCATGCACTATACTGAGACAGAGTCTATGTAATCCAGGCAGACCCTGTCTTTAAAAGAACAGAAAAAGAAAGCAAAGAAAGATAATCACCAAGTCATTGAAAGGAAGCCCATAACTTTTTGAAAATTCACGTAAATTTGGTTCAACAAAAATTTATTCAGTCTTAGTGCCAGGTACTGGGCAAAGGGGTCTAAAAATGAATACATTAAAATCTCCTGTCCAGGAACTTGTTAGCCTGGGAACCCACATGTGGCACAGCACAGGCCTGTGGTGCTAAGGCCTGCCAAGTGCCTGACCTTGTGAGGAGGAGGAAAGAATAGGAGCAGTTATTTAAAAGAGTAATCTTTGCTTTCATTCTTTCTTTCTAATTCTTTTGACAGCATCTTTCTATGTAGTTCTGGCTGGCCTTCAACTCACTATGTAGGGCTGGAGCTATAGCTTAGTGGCACAGTGCCTGCCTGTCAAGGTCCTGAGTTCAATTTCTGGTATAAAAAACAAACAAAACAAAATAAACAAACAAGCAATGATGATGATGATGAATAAACTCACACTATAGCCCAGGCTGACCTCAAATTCACAGCAATCTTCCTGCTTCAGCCTTTGGAGTACTGGAGTTACAGGCATATGCCACCACTCCCAGCTGAGTGATTTCTTTTCTTTTTTTTTCCTGTCTTTTTGAGACAGGGTCTCGCTATGCAGGTCAGGCTGGCCTTGAGCTCACTTTGTAGCCCAGGCTGGTCTCGAACTCACAGCGATCCTCCTGCCTCAGAAAGAGTGATTTCTTAATTGGGCCTTAAAGAATACAGATGAATTTACTGGGCAGATGAGAACTTATTCTTTCTGGAGAGAGTACACAAGAAGTGGACTGGACAAGACCGTAGGCCAGCAACAGGAGTGGTCTGGATTGGAGACACAGGAATGGAGAGAAGGCGCTGGGCATGGTATTGTGTGCTTGTAATCCCAACACCTGGGAGGATAAGGCAGGAGGCTTTCTGCAAATTCGAGGCCAGCATGGGCTACATAGTGAGTTCAAGGCTAACCTGAACTGTATAGTGAGATACTATTTCTAAAAAAAAAACCAAAACCCAAGAAGACAACAACAACAACAACAACAACAAAAAACCCTCAAAATAAAAACTAAATGAACAAAACAAAATAAGGAGAGGATCCAATAACCCAGAATCTCTTAAATAGATGACATATGTCACCTGGTGAACAACCTCATATGCCAGAAGGGGGAAATCTTTGATGGCTCTCAAGCTTTTGGCTTTGACTCCTCCTCCCTGATGTGAAGACAGGGAGGAAGAGTAGAAGTGGAGTGGGCAGCAGGTGTCCTATCTGGAGTCTGAAGCATGCATCCTTTTTTTGGTACCAGGGATTGAACTTGTGACCTTGCACTTACCAGGCAGGCGCTTATACCACTGAGCTAAATCCCTGGCTGAAGCATGCATCTCGCAGTATGGATAGCAGAGGGCACTCCAGCCCTGACATGAACAGCCACAAGTCTGCTGAGTGTAGGTCGAGTCTAGAGACAGTAAAAAAACTGATTCTGACCAACTTGGCAGCACAATAAAATGACAACCAACACTGATAGCTGACTGAGCTCCTGGTATGATGCCTATTGCTATACATATAAGTATTTAGTACTCTAGATGCTTACACGGAGCTATGATCATGTTAATGTAAAGAGAGGTACCGAGGCTCAGAGAAACTAAAGAAGTACACGGCTCAAGAGTACACGGCAAGTCTTGCTCTAACACAAGACTCCAAAGCTCAGGCTGCTAAGCAATTCTGCCATCCACCACCTTGTGTTTGAGAAATCCTCCTGGTAGACATTACTAGGTGTTCCCTGGGATTCAACATGTTTGAGAAATGTTGCCTACTAGACCTCTAAGAGTCAGACTGCACGTTAGCATTAAAAAGGCTCTGAGAAGTCCTTAAGGAGCCCACATGGCTTGGCATAATCCAGAGGATCCCAGACAACTCAGACTGGGCACACTATTTTCACAGCTCAATCTGCCCCAAACAGCAGCTATGGAAATGATATATTGGGCTATAAACGGTCCCTGGTTCTTCTGTTTGCCTTCTGGGCAGCCTGGCTGCTCTATGCCAGCTGAGATTCACAGAAGTGGGAGGGACCATGGGAGAGGAGGGCCTCGTAAAACAGGAGTGAGGCTCTAGGAGGTGAGCAGAAGCTGCACAGATGGGTGGTGGCAAGGTCAGGCCTGACACCAGCTGGGTGCCTGGGGGCAGGTGTGGCAGTCCAGGTGCATCTCACCAGGAAGACCAGCTCCAGCCTGCCCCGTGGAATGCCATCAATGCTACAGACATCGCTGTTCCAGCCGACAGTTCTAAGAGCGTCGTCAAGGATACAGTTCTGTTGAGACAGGAAGGAAAACAGGGCTGAGTCTGAATTCCAGGAGCTGGACCTCCGTCTGGTGCAATGACAGCAATTTCTTTCCTGTTTCTTTTTTAAAACTCTCACCAGGGTGCAAATGAGGCACCCAAACACAGACTGGCTAGATTGCAAGCTGACTCCCCAGGATTGTGTGTGTAACTCAGATGGATGCTACTATTCTCAATTGACAGATCCCAGACTGATAAGGTCACAATGGCTTCTTTCAGGCCGAGGCCGTACACCTGTGATGCCACACAAAGTACAAGGGAGACAAAGGCAGGCAGAAGAAAGAGCCTTTTGAGAGGGGGAAAAAGGAGGCCAGTCCCCCGGGGACTGGTTCAGTTATAAGTGCTGTGGAAGGTAGGCAGTGACCAGCTCTGCTAAAATATCTTTCCTGCCTTCCACATTTAATTAGCAGCCATTTTACTTATCGTTCATCTTCCAATCAGTCACCTCAAAAGGATCGATATCATTTTGAGCAAGAACAAGTGGGAGGGCGTCACTGACCCTCATCTGCTCAGTATGTGAAGCCAAGCATGTGGGTCTTCTCACGGGGCACTGGGCGAAGGCAAGTGACACCGTGTGCACCTCTCCCATCTGTCTGCAGTCCCTATGGTCAATGAATTGCCTTCTGTGTGTTAGGGAGACGCCAGGTGTGCTAGGCACCTTTTTCTGAGATTTTACTCACAATGAATAAGCAGGGCACCCCTGAGGGATGTTCTTTAGCTTATAGGTTGTAACTTCTTGTCACCTAGCAGGGAATGTCGCAGACCTCAGCTGGTAGGGATCTAAAGCTGGTAGGACTCCCAGGGAGAGTTCTTTTCATGTCACTTGAGTGCCACACAAATCCACCTGTCTCCCTGGGCCTCTTCCCTGCTGCAAAGTAATACTGTCTTTCTTCCATTTAGGACTCATTTTTTGGTCCATTAGCACATTTTTTTTTTTCTTTTTTGAGATACAATCTTGCTGTGTTGCCTAAGGTGCCCTCAAACTGCTGGGCTCAAGTGATCCTGCGCTTCAGCCTCCAGAGTAGTAGAGCAGGAATTCAGTGTTCACTCTGGTGAGCAGGAGTCCAGTGTTCACTGCAGGATGTCAGGACTGGATTCTTGTTGGAGAAAAGAGGATTCATGGCTTATAACTTCCATCCTGCAGTATTATATTGAAAAGGATGCTGAGGCCTGTGATAGTTTGGATCTTAAATGTCCCCCAAAAGCATTACCTTGTCTTGGGAAGAAAAAGTTTTTTTAAGGGGATGGATGGAGCTGTGAAGGTCCATGACTGTCACAAAAGATGGGGGGCAGCATGCGTGTCCCTATTTAGCACTGTTGATCTTAGTCAAACTCTTTGCTTGATCAAAGAGCCACTGAAAAGAATGGAGACCAGGCTTTGTGTCATCTTTTTTTTTTTTTTTTTTTTTAAATCTACCTCTAAAATGAGCCCTGCTCCTGGCCCAGGGTGGGAAAGGGCAGAGTTGCAGGAGCTGCCGAAGAGGTAGACAGAGACAAAAACTCAGAGTTTTTGTCACTGAGTGACAGCAATCCTCTTAGAAGCTCTGGACAGTGGGGAGAAACCCAGCCTGCAGTGCCCTTCCTGGTGATGTGCCTGCAAGTTTCTCCCTGGGGGCAAGAATGAGGAACCCGGGGTAGGAGGGCTGTATCCTGAACTTCATGTTCTCAAGCAAATCGCAGATGGCAGATGACAAAGGAGTGTTACAGGATGTGGCATCTCCTGTGCTGGAACATAAATTTGGTGACCCCTGGTTGAGCTCCTCTGAGCTGATTCAGCAGATCCATCCCTCGAAGGATTACACGCCGAATTCACAGTGGGAGCCTGGTAATATTGCTGATTAGATACCCTGTGTTTCCTCTTCCCTCTGGGTGTTACACATGCAGGTTCTTCTGTTTGGAACATTTCCACATTTGCTCTCCTCTATACCACTCACCCCATTTTCTGCTGGACTTGACCTCCTCTCAAAGCATTGCTGACCCTCCTGATAGCGTTAGGGACCCCTTTTCTGGGTTTCCACTGTACTCTGAACTTACCCCATGAGGCTATGGTATCCTGCCTCGTGGGGATTTCCTATGGGTTAAGATCACACATTATATGTCTATATTCTCAGTGCCTTGTATTTAGTAGCCCCTCAGACAATAAATGCTAACTTATTAAGTCAGTGAATTCTGTTCTGGCTCCCTTCACTTATGACTATGAAAAAGAGCCCTCAACACAGCACCAAATGCTAAAAACAAACAAACAAACAAACAAACAAAACCCCTTTTTTCCAAGAATTATAATTCTGGTTTAAAAACGAAGTTCCCACACAGTTTTAGTTTTATATCACTGACATCAAATGTAAAAGAAGACATCCTCAGAGAATAAACAGTCCTCTATAGTGAGAACACCGTATCCTCACAGCCTGGGGCGCCACCACCTGCTCCCCCAAATTCCATCTGGCTTATGGCAAAATAAGTATGGGTCCAGCTCAGTTTTGTCTTTTACCAGCAGCAGGCAGGTGAGCCATGATTGGGATGCTGTTTTACAAAAGTTTCAGGAACTGAAAGGGGAGGGGACAGACTAGTGCTTCTGTCTTCCTCAGGAGGGACCGCGCTTCCTAGAAAAGGTAGAATTTGTCTACCGCCTAAATGGCCTGTACTTTCTCCTCTGATCATTCTTATTTCCAATTTTATAGCCCATTTCATTCTCAAAGACTCTTAGATGATTGTTTCCTCAGACCAAGGTCTTTATTAAGCCTTTAGCCAAGAAAAGGCATCCTAGTTGTATCATCTTGGGAAAAGGACCTTTCAATATTCTTGAGCCTTAGTTTTCTTATATGTAAAATAGGGTAACAATGACATCAGATTGTTGTGAATTTTTTCTTTTTTTTTGCACCAGGGACTGAATCCAGGGCTTCACAATGCTAGGCAAGGGCTCAACTATTTATACCCTGATCCTACTGTTATTTGCATTTTTCAGGGATGATGATTGAACTCAAGGCCTTCACACTGAGCTACATCTTCAGGCTTTTTTATTTTATTTATCTTTTTGAGACAGGATTTTATCATGTAGTTCAGGCTGGCCTTGAATTTACCATGTAGCCCAGGGTTGCCTCAAACACAGTGATCCTCCTTGGTAGTCTCCCAAGTGCTGGGGTTACAGGTGTGTGCCACCAAGTCTAGCTAGTTTTTAATGTTGAGACAAAATCTTGCCAATTTCCTAAATTGCTCAGGATGGGTTTGAACTTGTGATCCTCCTGCCTCGGCCTTCTGAGGGATTACAGATGTGTGCCAGCATACCCAGCTCCTCTGACTTTTAAATTCCATGATATATGTGGAGGACTTAGTCTAATACTGTACTTACTATATAATGGGTATGCAATAAATGAGAGCTCTGTCCAACATAACATTCAGAGAATGACAAAGCTCTGAGCGGACCTTCAGGGACAAAAACAGAAAGAGAACATCAGGGTTTCTGGGAACTACTTGATAAGAGTCCAGAACTCCGTCTGAAAGACAGTGGCCACAAGGACTGCTGAAATTTCTAGAGTGTCTGTAATTTTCTTGAGCTGTCTGACTTTATTTAGGTCAGCTGTTCAATCTTTTTTTTTTGGTCTTTTTCCTTTTTATTGGTACCGGGGATCGAACTCACAACTGCCTGCTTGCAAAACAGGCGCTTATGCCGCTGAGCTAAATCTCCAGCCCCAGCTGTTCGATCTTTTAAATGAAAACAACCAAGTGCTTATTTAGAGGGGCCTATTTGAGGAGGAAGGGAAAGAAATTGGAGAGGGGAATATTGCTTAGTAGCTAAAACAACTGGAGTTCTTGGTGGCTAAATGCAAGGAAAGCAAGGTCCCTCAGAATGTTAGCATGGGGACAGGAGGTCTCCATGTTAGAAGCTCTGCAACCCCTGAGGCCAGGCAGCTGTTCCTCATCTTTCTCTCTTGCTGCCAGGGTTCTGGCCTACAGTGCAGGCATCACAAACTCGCTAGTGTGGGGATGCCCTGTTTGGACTCTGTGGAGCTCCATGACCCTACTAGTGTAATCTGAGCTAGCCACTGGGATATGTAAAGGATATCTGATTCTTTCTGTGACAGTGGGATAACCCTAAACCTCCTAAGGGAATCCCAATCTCTGGCCTCAGCCCATACATGAACAAGCAACGATGCCTGAATTTGGGTCAGAAGGGAAAGGAGCCTTTCTCTTCTAGGAGAGAAAGAGAATTACTATTCACAGGGCAGTGATTCTCAACCCTTAGGCAGCAGTTAGCGTAACCTGCATAGCTTGCAAAGACAGATGCTCCAGGGCATTCCAGACTTACTAAGAACTTCATGTGTGAGGCTTGGGAATATTTTAATTTTTACCAGTACCACAAGTAACTGAGCTGTGACCCAAGTTGAACATAATGCTTTAAAGAAGTATTATGTTTTGAACATCAGGGAATTTATTAGGGTTCTATTTTTTTTTTTTTTTTTGTACTGGGGATTGAACTCATGATCTTGTGCTTGCAAGGCAAGTGCTTGTGCTGCTGAGCTAAATCCCCAGCCCTTTAGGGTTCTATACAAGGAGACAAGATGTGGTTTTTTTCTTAAGTGGCATCTGCAAACAGACCAGTCTGTTCTAATTTCTCTGGGTCTCCAAGAGAAGGGAACAACCAGGAGGCAGCTGTATTCACTGCTTAACCTTTTCAGACCATCCACATCACCATAGTAAAATTCAATAAAAGGTGTACTTCCTAATGAAATTAAAATCAGATTTGATTAACATTATGGGAGCACCTGTTTTGTCCAGCACCACTCATGGACATTAAAGCCTATGGGAGAGGCACTACATTGTTCTTGTTTGGGGTGCATTCCTGGAAATGGACGCATTGTGCCAGAGCTTTGCCAGCTCACTGCAGCAGTCTTCTCTGACATGATTATTTATTACCTACGATCAAAATATCATTTGAAGTTTACTGACTGATGTCTTTTTTTTTTTTTTTTTTTTTGAGACAGTGTCTCAAAATGCAAGGCTTGCCTCAAACATGCTGCAATTCTCTTGATTTAGCCTCCAACATGCCAGGATTGCAGGTCCGTATCACCACGTCTTCTGATATTCTTTTTAAATGCTCTAAAGGTTAATGTGACTAGGCTAAGTACATGACATTAATTTATCTGAAGCTTCTCTCTTCCTGTCAAAACATCTAGCCTGTATTTAATCTATTACAATTCCATCCCTGGGAAAACAATCAGACAATCAAAGAGCCGTGACCAGAGGGGAATATGTAGGTGGCTTCTGGTGGAGAATTTTAGATCCTTCTTGGCTGATTAGCCTTTTGGATTTTGTCTGTATTGTCTCTATTTAAAATACGATGAAACCAGTGTTCCGAGAACTTTAATAACGTGCCAAACACACACAACTAGGAAAAGTTAGGGCAAGGATCTGGCCCTAAGTGTTTCAATTCTGGGATCTGTGCTTTTGCCTTGGTTTCACTCCAGCAGTCCTTTCGAATGGCTAGTTATTTATATGCAATTTATTAATGGTTGACCATTCACATACTGTTTTTATCAGCCACAGGCAAAGATCATGAATTAAAATCCAACAGAAGGAGGGCGAGCTCATAAAGTAAAGAGCTCAGGCAGGTTGACTGACTTGTCAAAGATCAACAAGCTACTAAGAGGTTGAACTTGTCTTTGACCTGAGGTCTGCATGGATCTAAAACAGCAATTTTTAACTAGGTCAAAGTGCACATATGGTACAGAGGGGAGGAAACTGTATGAGACAGAAGTCAAGGATTCCAGTCTCTGTTCCAATACAGCTTGTTAGCTGATCACTTTGGCCAGATTCCTTGCTCTCTTTAAAATGGAAACAATAATCTATGGCTTAACCAAGAAGTGAGAATCCAAGTGGACATAAACATGTTCTGAAAACCTCCTCTAAAAAATAAAAGGTTAAGAAGTGAGATGCGAGGGCTGGGGATTTATCTCAGTGGCCTAGGGGCTGCCTGGCGAGCATATGGTCCTGAGTTTGATTCCCAGCACAAAAAACAAACAAACAAAAAAACCTGAGATAGGTCGTTCAGTCAGCGACTTTCTGTAATTGGCTGTGTGACCATGGGCAAGTGAGTGCCTTGGTTTTCTCATCTGCAAAGTGGGAATCCAGTAACTACTCCAACAGGTTGTGACAGTTACATTAGCGCATTTGCAAAGCAAAGGATTGCTTTACACAAAATAAATCCAATCAATAAACGTCAGCCTCTACTCTTGGGTCTTCAGCTACCTCACGCATGGATTTTCAAAGCTACCAAAAGCGTCCTGTGCTTCAGCTTCGCTCCTGTTAGTCTCTGTCTCCTTCCTTAGACCCTGACTCGCCCTTCCCAGTCCACAGCCCGTCTTGATCCCTTCCGGGAACCCCAGCCCGCTTCCCGGTTTCCGCGCGGACTCTTACTCGACGACCTTGGCAGGATCCCCGTGGTTCCCATAGACCAGCGCCCGTACTCGGGACGGATCAGCGGATGCAGAGTAGGAAGAGGCCGCACCATAGTGGAGGCGCCAAGATGCGAGCAGCCGCGGTGGCAGCTGCGCTGGGGTTCGCATCCATCGCAGAGCGCCGCAGACCCACATGCTCCTAGCAGCTAACACACAATCTGGCGCGCAAGGAAACGTCATCTTTCCGCGACGCGCTCCTGTGTCACTCCCCAAAACCAGCCCCGCCCCGCCCCGTCCCCCACATGACCACGCCTCTTTAAAGGGCTCTTTCCTTCCTTCACTACCCCGCGCAGTGGCGCCCGGCTAGACCGAGCGGGTGGCCATGGGTGGGGGCCAAGGTGTGACCTGGGAAAGTTGCAGGCTCTGTCTCTGCAAAAGCAGCCTTCCCAACATGGTGTTTGAGCTTGGTCTAAAGCTGTGTCTATAGTCTGTGGTTTGGTGTTTCATTTTGGGAGAAGTCTCTTCCCTTCTCTTGGCCTCCGTTTCCCCTTCCCAACATTTATTGAACTTTTAGTGTGCCAGGCCCTTTAAGGTACTCTTTTTTATTTAAACCTCACTACCCTGGAGCCACGCAGGACACAAAGCTTACTTACTTCCCTACACTGAGCAGAACAGATATAAAGTGTTAGGAAAGCAGGATTTCAGGCTTGGAGTTAGCTTTTTAATTTAATTTAATTTTTTTTTTTTATTGTTTTTGTCTTTTTGAGACAAGGTCTCATTATGCAGTTCAGCTGGCCTTGAACTCACTTTGCAGCCCAGGCTGGTCTCGAACTTGCAACGATACTCGTGCCTCAGCCTTCTGAGTGCTGGAATTACAGGTGTGCGCCACCATGCCTGGCCTTACTTTTTGAATTCTTTATTTTTTTTGAGTCAGAGTTTCGCTATGTAGGTCTGGGTGGCCTTGAACTAGGGGTGATGTTAGGTTTAGAGTTTGAAAACTTAAGTTGAAATCCAAACCCTGCCATTTCTTAGCCTGGATAAGTGATAAGAATGCTATCATGGACACTGTGAAAACATTAAGTGTATTTAGATTAAAGGAGAAAACCACAAGAAGCAGGGTGCCTTTTCAAGATGCTTACAGTGTAGAAAGAAATTAAGTGGGAAACTGCAGATTTTTTGTAAAAGGTATCCCCTCGCAAAGATGCTACATCTTATTTTTAGTGGAGGGAAGGTGTGAACATAACCGAGACCCCAGCTGAACATTAACACTAACCAAAGTGCAAGATGGTAGAGTCAAGAAGAGGAGTGCTCTGGAGTGGCAGTGGGGCACTTGGAGGAAGTGCCCTTGAAGCCAGCCCCTGGACTTCCTTGTGCATGAGAGTATGTGAGGGCAGATGTTACATCTACTGAATTACAGTCTTGGGGAGAGGTCCAGGGTTGTGCATCAGTATACGTTCCCAAGCACATCATTTACAAGTGGCCCAGAGAACAGGCTTTGAAGGCTAAAGAGCTGGCTTTTATTGACCTGAAGCTTCCATCTAGTGGGAGACAGCACAGCAGAGTATGGTGATTAAGGGGATGGGAACTAGGCTCAGGCAAATCTGGCTTTGAACCCTGGCTATGTCGTTTTTTCCAGCGATTTGATTCTGGGCAAGTCATTTGGCTTCTTCCATGTCTTCATTTTCTTATGGTTAAAATAAAGGGAATAGATCTTGGTGTGTAGCTCAGTAGTGGAGCACTGGCCTCGCACATATGAAACCCTAGATTTAATTCCCAGCACAGAAAAAAAAAAAAAAAAAAAAAAAAAGGAAGTGAGAGATTGAGGTACTAATAGTTATCTGGTTCAAGGTTGTTGGGTCAAGTGAGCTATTACCTGAAGCATTTAACACACTGCTTGTGCATAGACCCATTTGATAACTATTACCAAGGGGTTATTGTGGAGATTTAATGAGAAATATTATCTTTAAAACACTAGAGATGGCTCAATAAATGTCTACATTGATTTTTATTATTAAAGAAAGTTGATGTCCCATGGTAGGGGAAAAATGTGGTCCCACAGTTGTGTGTAATCATAAACATGAATGTGCACACAAAACACTGTCCTACTCACCAACTTTCACAGTAACACAGAAGCTTACTTGTATTGGGAGGTATAAAATAACTTTCTAAAACTCTCCGGGTGACATCTACCATGATCTCTTCCACCACATTAGCTCTTCTGAATCTGTAGGCAGCCTAACCAGGAAGCCCAGAGAATCATGCAGCAAGTCTTTCTTCTTGGGGCTAGATTTTGTCCCTTTGTGTATCCCTATAAGTTTCAGTTTTAGTTCAGGCCATGTGGGCTGTCACAGAGGCATTTTGAGAACCACTGACTGAGGAGTTCAATTGTACTGGCCTTGCCTTTACAGCTCTTTGCATTTTGACTCTCACTCTGTCTTTCCAGCTTTGTCTTCTATTATTGATCTGCGTATAGTCTATGATCTAACTGCACCTGATACCCACCTTTGCTAGCACTTCCTTGACTTACGCTTTTATTTAGGCTGATTCTTCTGCCTCAAATGCTCTTCCCTGCCTTACCTACCAAGGATATCTTATTGAGTCAGTGTCTGCTGCCTTTGTGTTTTCTCTGGACCCCTGTTATGGCCTTGGCCTTTAGGGCATTGTCTCATGGTTATTAACGTGCCCCCCTCCAAGACAAGAGTAAGGCTTCCAGCAAGATGTTGGGTTCATCTCCATGACACCAGCACTCAGCATGGGGCCTGGCACAGGGTAGGCATCATAAATATTCCATGAGTTTCAGGTAATTGAATTTCCTCATGGCCTGGAACAGTGTAGTGCAGTCTCCTTTTCCCTAGATTTGGGTCCATCAGTCAGGACTAGGAATTTCCTTCTTCCTTTCTTTTGAGGATTATAGAAAGTTGTGGTTTAAAGCAAAAATAGTTTCTGTGGCTTCCCCCTACACAAGGAGCAAGGGGATGTGAAATCAGCCAGATCTGGGCCTAACATTTACTTGCTGTATTATCTTGGGCAAATGGCTTATGCTCTCAGCTTGTACACCCATAAAGTGAGATGAGGGCATGAGGCTCTCCTCAGGGTTCTCTGCAAACAGTATCTTTGGCTGTTGTTTCTGTTCACCAGTTTTCTCACTTTTTCTGCATGGTTCTGTCTTTGCTTCAGAGTCTCCCTCTGTTCCTTTCCCATCACTTTTTCCTTCCTTTACCTCTGCCTTCCTATGACTCTGTTGAATTTGTTGCATGTAGATCTTGTCTTTTGCTCCCCGCCACATCTCAGCCTGGAGCTCATCAGAGAGTACCCCAAGAGCCCAGGAATGCTCAGCTCTGCCTCCTGCAGCCCTATAGCAGCTTCTAGGAATCTCAGCCTTAGTGCAAACTTGCAGGGAGAGGAGGCAGAGACCAGAGAGGGCCCACATGTGTCTTGAATGCCTAGGCTTTACACAGTGTCATTAACTTCTTGGGACACTGATTGGAGGTCAGAACTTACTGCTCTACTGCTTGATGCTTTAATGGCTTCCTGTTGCTCTTAGGGTTAACCCAAGCTTCTTCATTGCTTATAGTTTCTTGTAAGACATGAGGCTCGGCTGACCTTTTCAGCTGCAGCTGGCTCCCCTCTTCTCCATGCTCCCCCACTCCAGCTGCCCTGGCTAACTTGCCAGCGCCTGCCTTTGCACAGGTTGTCTCCTCTGGCTGCTGCTGATTTGACTGAGGTTGGCTCCTTGGTCTCAGCTCCACTGGAATCATGTCATTTCCAACAGAAGCCCTTTTAGACCATCTTGTCTGAACAAACCTCTCTTCCCATTTCCTTTCTCACAACACTCCATCCATTTCCTTCAGAGTGCACATCTCACATTGTAATTACACATTTATTTGTTTGCTATTGTGTAAGCTTCATGAAGGCAAGGACCATGTCAATGTGTGTTCGTTTACTATATACTCAGCCATCCAATGTTTATTGAGCCCAACTTCATGCCAGATACCAGGCCCTGGGCTTTAGGACAGTCTTTCCTCAGGGGAGCTTACCTTCTAGAGGTGGAGACAGTAGTGATTCCATCAAATTGTAGTGCTCTGTTTCAAGCTGCAACAATCCTTGTCTCCCCCTCTCCCCTCCCCCAATTTTCTGGCATATGAGACAATAATAAGGGATATACACCAGAGAATATACTTTTAGTTATTGCTGTTTGTTCTTCTCTTCCCTCTGGAATGTAAACTCCATGAAGGTGGGAAGGTTTTGAGTTGTTTTCTATGTCTAACATGGCCTATTGTCATTGTTGGATAAATGAATCAGTATCTGGGTGAGTTTGGGAAACAAGTAAGTTTCCAAATGGATCTAGGCAACTATTCAATTCAAGTTACTTAAGCTTGATTGAAATCTCTATGCTGCCCCTTATGAGTGTATAATTTTGGAGAAGTCACAGTCTCTCTGTGTACCTTAGTTTCCTCAATGTCGCAATGGGAATATAATGATATGTTTAATGGGGTTACAGAGGAGATGAGGAGAGTTCGGTGGGGGAAAACACACAGGAAGTGGTTAGACTAACAACAGGATCGTCATGCAGAAGTTCTTCCTGGGCAGAGGCCTAAATGCACTCAATCTGGGTAGTAGAAGGTACAGTAGGACCAGTGAGGGTTAGCAAGGGAAGTGGGTTTCATGCTATGGAAAGGAAGATCTTCCTGAAAGCGAGCGTTTCCAAAGAATCAACACCACCTTGGTAAGTGAAGAACGTCCGGTCCTTAGGGGTTAGATATGAATGCATATTTAGAGAAGACAAGGTAGGTGAAATTCAAGCATCATAGGACAGAGGCAAAGTGTCCCTGGATCAGTCTTTGACAGCGCTACGCGGAAGATAGAAATGGCCATTGAGGACTTTGGAGCCAGAAGCGTGCAGAGGCCAGTGGACATTCAAGCAGGGCCACCTGACCTCCAGGCAGGGGTGCCTGGGTGGGGGAGGGGCGCGGCAGGGCCGACGGGTGGCGGGACCCCAGTAACAGCACGCGCGGCTGCCAGCAGGGGACGCCGCGAGACCGCAGAACCCGCGGCCGGCCTGACGTCAGCGCCCCGCTTGCTCCGGCTCCCGCTCCGGACTCGGCGCCAGTCCCGCTCTGCGCCGCGCTGCTCCGCTCGAGCTCCGGCTCTTCGGGCTCCGGCGGCGGCGCCCCCACCCCCTACGCGGGGCCC